TTTTTATCATATTTAATAGATAGGATGTATAGTATATCAATATTATTATAATTTTAATTTCTAATGTTTTACATTTATTTATAATTTACTTATAACAAATAAAAATCTAAGCTATATTTTACACCTTTTAATACCATACAGGAAATATGTGTCCTAGAATTAGATGCAAAACAGTGTGTAGTTCATGCAATGTCTCATTAGCATATTCAAATAAAACGTTTTTAAACATTGTTAATAAGATTCAATCATATTTGGTTTCCCCCACAGTCTGGTACTGTGGCGACCCCGGATTAATAAAGGGTCTAAGCTGACAAGAAAATGAATGAATGAATGAAAAATATATTTCCCAAGCCATTGTAACAAGAATACTAATATTATCGTTTATATACTGATTTTATTGGTCAAACCAAAAGAAAAAGACTTTCACCAGGAATTTTTTTGTATTTTTATTGTAAATACAGGAAAATTGTCCTTGAAAAAAATTTCTTGTAGACCAGGTTATGTCAAAATGGTGTCTCTACTCAAAATGCCCCCTTGAAACCCGTAATGCATCTAAAAAATATTGACGACAGTAAGAATGACAGTATACTAACGGCTTTACATGTAACTAGTTACTCCCCAACACTGTCTATGATTCAGACCCGGGATTGAGGGAGAAGTCCTCATTTAGTGTTTATATGAACACGATTATCTTTATAATGATATAAATTGTGGTTGTTTGTATATGAAATTACGAATAAAAAATGTACCAGGGCATTAAATTACTGTTTATTTATTTGCATTTTAACTTTGTAAACTATAAACTCATGCATCTCCTCACGGTTTGTCTCAATTTGTGAGCTAACTGACATCAACAGTTGTTCGCTCCCCTTCTCCCCTGCTGTCCACGCCCACTCCTGCCCTATGCTCGCGGAGCTCCACGCCCATTAATAATGCATCTTTTAAAAATAATTCTGAAGTAGACTTTAACCGAAAGTGGGGGGTGTCAGGCCCTTTAAATTTGTTTGTATTTTGTTTTTTTTTGCTAATAAAGCTTATATGTATGATTCTCCATCATGTAAGCAAAGTCAATAAGGTATATGAGGTTCCTACAAGTAATAAACATAGTTTCAGTTTCTCGGTGAAGTATAGACCCAATCTAGCCCGGCTATGTGTAACCCATCTCCAGCCCCAAAAAACTTAAATTTGCTTACCTGTCTTTTTTTTGGCAAAATACTTTGAGATATGTATGATATTCCTTTAAGTGAGTAAAGTCAATCGCATTTACAAGGGCTTTTTTTGGGGGGCTTTTAAAAATATATCAAGGGATTTTTTTGGGCTTTTAAAAATATATGTTATTTTCATAGTCTAAGCGTAGCCTTAGCTCGTCATCCGGCTGGCTATTTATAGCCCACTGATAGCTATGAGGTGCCGTGTAGGATTTAAATCAAACTTTGCTTATCAACACATACATAAAACACATGTATATACACCTATAATTTACTCGCATATACACCTATACTACTGGATGTTAAAAACAACATAGATGAAACTTGTGTATATACATATAAACTTGACGCATAAATACACCCACATACACACGCGCATACATATAAACTCAATCCTTACATAAACAATCATATTAACACACGCACATACATGCAAAAACACACCTATACACACTCGCATATACATATAAACGCTGCATGCAAACACACCTATACACACTCGCATATACATGTAAACTTGCTGCATGCAAACACACCTATACACACTCGCATATACATATAAACTTGATCTATGCATATACACCCATAAACTCTCACATAAGAATATAAACTTGATGTGTGCACAAACACCCAAATAACACTTGTGCAAACATACAAAATAAAATTCACAAACATATATAAAGTTAGTTGTGTATATACATATATGCAAGTGATTTCATATGTGTGTATGCATGAATTTTCACAGTAAAAGGAAGTTATTTCACTTTAAAAGGAAGTAGTTTAATTTCAACGTAAAAGTCCTTTAAGTGTAATGAACACGATTATTATTTGTCATTAATCAGGTTTTTGCAAAGCTTAAGAAACAGAAATAATGCGATTAATAGAGGAATTACATCTGTTGAATTATGAAAATAGATTATGCTAATTCTAAAAAAATAAAAAGATAATGCTAAGGAATGCTCCTGCAAAACTAAAGGTTTAATATGCAATTAAATTATTGGAAATGTTATTATGGTTTAATAAATATAAGGTTGCTTAAGTAATCACTTTGAATGAAATATGTTTGTCTAATATTAGTTTTTTATGTTTGTTTTATTATTGGTGTCACAATTCGTCAAGGGTTATGATACACACTTATGTTCAGTAGAGGGCAGGAATGCACTTAAGTGGGTTTCCTGTTACCAATAAACAGGCTAATGCACCAAAATGCTGGATGCCAGCTGCATTAAAAATATAAGTAGTAGTTATTAAACACAAAAGGAGTGTCCAGATAATATATATAGCTTTTCCATGGGGGTTAACTTGACCAACATGATGAGCAGAGACTTAATCAGCGTTTTTTTTTTTTTTTTTTTTTTTTTTTTGTATATGCTGAATAATTAACAATCAAAATGATACCAAAATCTTGCAATTTTGACACCCACATTGTAAAACATATAAAAAGCATAACAATTATAAGAATTTAAAAAACAAAACAAGAAGACTATAGGCTACATTAACATTTGCAATAGAAAAGAGGTGTTTAGTTTGAGTATACATTTATATTTATAGTTCTGGTTGCTTTTAGAACATCCTTTAAAGAGCCCATATTATACAGGAAATAGGGTCATATCCTGGTTGTAAGGGTCTCCAACAACAGTCTAATATGCATGCAAGGTCAAAAAACACTTTCATGGTCTTATAATCTGCATTTATTTTTACCTAATTATCCCAGCGACTCCTGTATGAATCGTCCAGTGATTCATTTGTTCCCAAACCCCTCCTTAGCGCGGAGCTAATCTGCGCTGATTGGACCGATGACAGTCTGTCGCGATTGGTCGACTGCCTTCAGTCAGAGAGGGAAATGGCCAATAGCTAATCAGCAATTTAAAAAGTAATCACAGTTCATACACGCTCGACAGTGTAGGCGTGGATTTTAGCTGCCACACTATGGCGAGTGGATAGTGCCACGGATAACCGAACGAAGGAGACAGTCGTGTACTGGCCATACCACACACACACAAAAACACACACACACCTCCGGATGACAACGCTCCCGCTTCCGCCCGCACCCGCCAGGTTTTAGCCTGAGAACTCGCTCCGTTTTCTGCCCGCCGCGCCCGGTCCCGCTAGAGCGGAGAACACAACCAAATATCACCCAGTATACAGTCCAGACAGCCAAGGTGTCTGTATAAACACATACACACAGCATAAAGCACACAGAGCTCGTTCGTTCGTTCGCTCTCTCTCTCGCTCTCTCTCTCTCTCTCTCCCCGCGCCAGATTTCTGCGGCGCGGGAATACATTTCCGAATAAATCGCGGGAGCAGAACTCTAGCACGGAGCTCCATAAACAAACAGCACGCGTCGCGTTTTTAACGTGACTTTGCACGCGATAAGATAATATATCCAGTTAACCTGATACAGTACACGCGGTTACAAGTAACAAATCACAACTAAATACATTTGCAAGCTAGAGTAAACGAGGCAACAACTTTAACCGCACGTACTTACACTTGAGAAATGTAGGAAGAAACCCATCCTGACGTCCATCAGTTACTCTTTACTGATCCTTCCTTTAACAAACTCAGATGAAGTATTCTTTGTAGCATGTAGCTTCCAGAAGTTTCCAACTGCTTGGTTATAATGCTGATGTTTCATCTTTGGGTAGAGACTCAATATATCCATCTGCAATGTGACTTCAATCGACCGGCATGTTTGTGTGCGTGTGTTTGTGGGTGTGCGTGTGTTTGTGGGTGTGTGTGTGTCTGGGTTACTGCGTCAGAGGGCGGGGCCTCAGGTTTGAAATCTCCCGGGTTTGCGCGTGCACGTGAAAAACTTTGTTTCGTTCGTACGTCATGGCGAAACACCTAATGAGTCGGTATCAAGGCGACTCGTTTGAAGCACTATGAATCGACTCTTTTATAGATGAATCAACAGTTTTAAACACTGTATTCTTACAGATTTAAGCCTTAGCTGGATACTTCACTTCACTTAGAGCTGTGTTACACACT